CAGAGTACCTGAGCAGGTAGTGAACAGAGTACCTGAACAGGTAGAGACAGAGTAGTTGGATAGATTCAGTGAGTTGTTACCTGTGTGAGGGTTGGCAGAGTGATTGGTGTGTGTGTGACGGGCAGAGATCTGCTCCTCCTCAGCAGACTGGTCCTGGTCTCAGGGATACCTCCTGGTTTCACCTGCAAACACACACATTCATACTGAAAGGATGATGACATCACACCGTGCTCCACAGGATGATGACATCACACCCTTCTCCACAGGATGATGACATCACACTGTGCTCCACAGGTTGATGACATCACACCCTTCTCCACAGGATGATGACCATGGACTCTGAATGAAAGCTCTCACCCTCTGCAGCCATTTGTGGTTGTCGGTTAGATTCCTGCTCATCTGCTTGTCCTTCCAGCGTTGAGCGTACTGATGAGAGATGAGGTCTGAGAACGGAGACGACAGCCTGATGGACACATCGATCAGTCACCATCGATCAATAACTAATAATCAGCTCAGTGGGGGGGGGGGGGTTCTCACCTGGTTGTGACTCCGTGTGTGATGTCAGGCACCACCGGGCGCTGTGAAGCCACGCCCCCTTGGTGTTTGGGGGCGGGGTTCTGTCTCCTTTCCCTGCCCCTCTGAGCCCGGTACTGACTCAGCTCTTTGGACGTCACCAGGCCGGACTTCACCGCGTCCCGGTTCAGAGACACGAAGTCCGGAACGAGCGGTCGGTGAGGAGCAGAGTGTCCACGTTGGGACTGAACCCTCCAGCTGGACAGAGCTGAGGAGAGACGGGGACAACACTCAGAGACTACAACTCCCAGCAGCCCTCGCTGCAAGGTTTTCGTTTCACATCTGTGGAGCAAAAAAAACTGAAAACTGAAAACTCCAGGTTGAGTTTGGACTCTCGGGACAGGAAGCAAATCTGCACCAGACCACCTGAGACCAGAAACAAGCCACCTGAGACCAGAACCAGACCACCTGAGACCAGAACCATTGCCTGGTTCTAGTCTCAGATGGTTCTGGTTCATAGCAGCAGAATAATAATCAGTGATTCTTAAACCAAGAGGAGTATTAATATAAAACCATGAAATAAAAGTCTGAAAATGTCCTCACAAAGACAGAAGTACAACACACACACCAGACCTGTGTGTGTGTGTGACAGCAGTGATGGTTGCCTGAAGGCATGTTTCCTTCAAGCAAACACACTTTGACAGCTGACCGCTGTTAAACCTCACACACACTCACACTCACACACACACACTCACACACACACACTCACACACACTCTGGGGGCCGGGTCTCGGCACATGAGGCACAGCCCGAAGAACATGAGTTTTCAATGCTAATGTTACATGCTAACGCTATATGCTACATGCTAACGCTATATGCTAATGCTACATGCTAATGTTACATGGTGATGCTACATGTGTGTTGAGTCTTGTTGTTGATCACAGTGGGTGGGGCTTACCCTCAGCCACGCCTCCATCTCCCAGCGAGCCGCTGCTGATTCCGAAAGTGAACTCTGGACCAGGAAGTGACAGACCTCTGGACCGGGTCTGACCCAGAGGTGCCTGCCCACAGGAGGGAGGACCTCATCATCATCATCATCATCATCATCATTATTACAGACCCTCCTCAGTGGTGCGTTCAGGGACTCTTGAACAGCTAGTCTGTGCTGCCCCCTCCTGCATCAGTCGGTCTCACTATGACGTCACTACAAATGTGTGATGTCATCATCCACAGCTGGTGAAAGGATGTGATATATCGTCATAAATATCTTTTATTAATTAAGTTCAGACGAGAGTAAATTGCAGCCTTTTCACAGTGAAAGTCTCCCCCAGCTCCTTCACAATAAAAGAATAATTATTTATTTACTTTATTTTTCATTCTCAGTGATTCTTTGTGTTTACCTTGATGTGCAGCGGATTGGTCAACATGGAGTCTCTGACCACGCCCACTCTGGGTGACGACATGCTTCCTCTGTGGCTGATGATGAAGATGATGAAGAAGAGTTTTGTCTATAACAGCAGTTAGAAACGTTTATCAGCGGTCCTCCACTAAAGGGCCACTTACTGGCTTGTTGGTCCAGATGGTACAGTTGAAGCTGAGAAAGCTGGTAAGTGGCCCTCTAGTGTGAAGAAGATGTTTCATTTATTTACATAAGTTATTAATGATGACGTCACAACAACGGGTCAAAACTTCATGAGCTTCTGATTATTACAGATAGTAAATATATTAATAAATATTAACATATTTACATGTTTAATGTGAATATTTAACATTTTCATATTATTATTATTATATATATATATATATTATATATATATATAATAATATGTTATATATATATTATTATATATATTATTATGTTATATATATATTATATATAATAAAAACATTGAAAACAACCAACGTGTTCATAAATAAACAAAGATTTTGTTTATTTAAATCATTTAAATCTTCTGATTAAAGTCACAGTTTCTCTGAAGACATAAACATTTTAATGTTTAATTTCTTAAATTAATAATGAACATTTCTGTTCATAAACACGTTATTTAGTCGATAATTAGATAAAAACACACACATATAAGTTATATATATAAGTTATATATAAACACGATCACCTGTTTCCTGTCCTCCGTGGTCTAGCCGATCCGTTGCTATGGAAATAGGACGCTGAAATGTAAACAAAACAAAACCGGAAGTTTCACAATAAAGTTTGTGATAGTGAGGCCTGTCTTCACCTGAAGCGGCCTGCAGGGGCAGCACAGAGCTGTGCTCCGTTCAGGGACCGTGAGGAAAACATGGGGCACATCCCAAGTCTCTTAACTGCATCCGCGTTTCCTTCACTTGCGTCCTTTCCTTGCGTCCTAGTCCCTCCCACCAGGGACGCATGGAGGAAAGCATGCGAGGAGAGAAGCGCCGTCTGTTTGTGATGACGGAGGATCAGCTGATCACAGCAGGAGAAGTTACTGTGATTATATCTCCATCATTTAGTGCAGAGTGAGATAAAGAGTCTCGATGAAGAGCTCATGAGCACAAACAGGAATCCTTCACATGAACAGAGCAGCAGCAGGTTGGATCATACTGCGTATTAATAATAAAGTAAGACATCATAAAGAAACACAGATGCTATTTATAGAACACAGTGACCTGATAACAAGTGGCCAAGACCACACGAGTTCATATGAGCTGGATTGCAGACGACAGTCTTGATGAAAAGCGATGCTATAGATGTGCTGCTGCTGGTGAAGCCTCCACATGGAGAACGTTCTCTCATGAGGACATCGTCAGCTGAGCTGATGGAGCAGCTGTAGCTCCTGAGGTCAATGGAAGGAGAAGGAACCAGGCCTGTGTCCCACTGAAGACTTTCACCAGACAACATGTCTCTCAGCCCGGTGCTGTGTGCTGCTGCAGCGTTCACCACGCTCCAGCAGCAGAGCCCATGTGCAGCTGCTCTCATGTGTTCATAGAGGTACGCATCACACACGCGCTGCACGAAGAAGAAGAACTCAACCTCAAACCACTTTACATCACATTGTAGAGAAGCTCGGTGTGGGAAGTACCTCTGTCCTGTATTGTGTAGCTGGAGACGGACCGAGAGCCGGTGGATGCTCGGTTACATCCTCGTGGGCCTGGCTGTGTTCTCTGACGGTCACAAAGACCTCATGGCTGACTAGAGGCTGGGGTCCAGTCCATGGAGGCCCTTCTGAGGATCCTGCCACCATAGAACACACAGGGCTGGTCCCATGAGGAGACACGGCCTATCATAGAGCGTGGTGTCCCGGCTCTACAGTCTGCACACTAGTGCACGGTGGAGTGGAGAAAATTGCAGCCCTTCACCAGGTCATCAACCTCCCCACCGCCGGAGCACCGGATGAGGTTGGCCACGCATTTGCCCAGCTGGCCCACAGCCCGGTGTTCTCCAGGTGTGTGGGTGCCATTGATGGCTGCCATGTCCGCAGAAGGACAATTGCAGGCAGTGTGTGATGGGAAGAGGCTCTTTGTGGGGAACCATGAGCCCAGAGTCCTGAAGAACAGCAGGATCTACCGAGAGGCTCTGTGTCCTCCCTCAGGTCAGTCTAACTCAAGTTTAATGCATCAATACCATCAGTTACTGACAGAAATAGTAATTACTTTCACTCTCTACAGGATGCTTTATGTTGGGTGATGGTGGCTACCCCTGCATGACGAGGCCATCATCACCCCGTATAAAGAACCGCTGCAAGGGAGGGTGCAGAGCCGCTTCAACCAGCATCACGCAAAGGCCCGTTCCATCACACAGCGAACCTTTGGGACGTCGAAGACTCGGTGGAGATCGCTGCTCTTCAGGGCTCTGGAGGTCGACCGTTGTCCCCCGAGTCATCACCGCCTGCCTCACAGCGGGGGACATCGGTGTGGTTCCACCACGTCCAGTGAGGGGAACGAGACCAGCTGGCAGGGCTGCTCTCTGCTCCACGTCTGCACGCTGTGGAGTTGCAGGAGCAGGATTATTTGTAGGCTTGGGGACATGAAGGCCGGGGACACCACGCTCCATGATCAGCTGTCTCCCGTTGAAGCGCCTCTCTTAGTTATGTCTATTTCTAAGTTGCCTTTAAGGTTGTGTTGTGCATTTCTCTTCTGAGATAGATTCAAGTCATTTGTAACGACATCATTGACCCGCGACTCCAACCAAAGCAAGATGTCTTCACAAAGATGTAAACCGGAACAAGAAGCTGTCCAACACATGAGAAGATAAATAAATCAACACAACGTAGTGAATACATATAAAAAAACTCCTCCGTGGTGATACAGGTGCAGAATCCTCTTCCTCACATGCCACAAGTAGCTGCTCCAGAGGATGATGAGCCACTACCACTGGGGGCCACGTCAGCTCACGGTGTCCCCCAACACATGAGTCCATCAGGACTGGGGCTCCACAGAGGGCCGCCTCCCGATGGCCTCGTGCATGAGGGAAATAATTTAATCATTGTTCTTAAATACACTATTATAATATTTCCCCATTATCTTATGTTCTCATTGCACAGCTCCTGTCTTCCTCAGTTGCTCTGCTTCCAGTGCAGCTTGTTTTAAGTAGAGCTTTTATCCAATCAGATCTCACCTCTGTGTCTCTAGGTAAGAACAGAGGCAGAGGCCTGCAGACTCACAAGTGAATCCATGTGCACTTTAAGTGAATGGGGACGATATTGTTGATTGTCATAGTGTTCAACCAATCACATCTTTAGTTTGACATGTTGGGTGTATTCTTTGACGTGTCAGAGCTGCTAGCTGGCCTACAAGTACGTGATTGGTCAGTGGGCTAGCCTGACATGTTGGGCGGTGACAATCCCAATATCTGCTGCCTCTGTGGAGCGGACATTTTCAGCCTCAAACACATTAAAACGTATTCAAGAAATACAACTGGGGAGGTTCGAATGTCTTCACTGGCGTCCATGAATGGAGAAGGACTTCTTACTGGAACTAAAACACACGGATGTACTGAACAACCGTGAGATTAAACTCTTTGTTAACAAAGAAAGGAGGACTTTGTCTTTAAATAGTGAACAGCAGCTCTGGTAAGTTAAATGCGTTTGTTTTTACATCTGCAGCAGCTTTAATATGCTTGTTTGTATATTATTATTTGTACAACTTGTTTTTATGAAGATGGATTTTTGTTTGGTTTAATATGTGATAGGAACTATTGTTATGTCCAGTGTTGCTCTGGGGACATATTTAGCCGGTGCCAGTGTTGCCAACTTGGCGACTTTCTCGCTAAAT